GCTCAGAGCCTTTGAAAAGCAGCACAAAAGGGAGCGTCTGTTCCCTGCGCAGACAGGTGTTGGTGGGATCGGGTTGACCAGGTGGGCTGGGGCATGGGGCGAAGCTGGGCTTGGCATCTGCTTGACTCCATGGTGTCTGGTTGCAGGTACCCAGGCTGGGGGCATGCAGCATTTCAGGATGTTGGCATGGGGTGGTGAGGGGCATCCACCCACCCCTCTGCTGCCTCTGAGTGGGAAAGGGGTGTCACCAGGCTCCCCATGTGCTGGTCACTTTGGATGCTATGAAGCCATCGGGAGCCCTTATCCTGCCTGGGCCCCTTTTGATCTTCTGCCCCAGCACGAATGCCGGCAGCCGGCATGGGGTTGGTTTCAGTCCCCTGACAGCAGTGCTGGGACTTGGAACTGGTGCCTGTGCCGGATGGGAGGCTGTGACCTGGCTTTGTCCATGCAGAGAAGGGATGGGGCAGGAGGATGTCTTGCTTTATTCCTGCAGCTTTTTATATATTTTTTTGTTTGCAGGAGATTTTTTAAAGAGTTAATCAGTGCAGCCAGCTGCTTTCAAGCTGCTGCGGTGAATGGGACAGGGGCTGAAACCTGCTGTGGGCTGGGGTTGGTGGAGGGAACAGGTGGGAAGCAGGGAGGACACTGCAGAGGGAGTGGAGCCAAAACAGTCAGGGACAGCTCAGCTGCCTTCCAATCTGCTCGGGTGCTGCACAGCCAGCCCCTGCCCAGCTCCTGCAGCAGGAGGAAGCCCTGGGGACGTGCAGCACCGCAGGGCTCCCAGAGGAAGCTCCCAGCCTCCCATCTCACTGCAGGGCTGGTGGTTCTCCCTGAGCACGGCCATGCTCTGTCCCTGGGCTGTGACTCAGAGCTGCACCATTCTCCCATAGTACGCTCAGCCTGCAGAGCCCACAGCTCAGCTGCCCATGAAGTCAGGGCACGCAGACTGGGGCAGCCCCTACAGCCCCCAGCTCCACTGTCAGGTGGAGGGCTGCGTGCAGCTGAGCCGACTCTCAGCATCTCTGCCAAAATTGCCCATGGAGAGACTGATTGTGGCTCCTCTGCTTCCATCCCTATCTGCAGACAGGTGGGAGGCGGGGGCAGCTCCATTACACTGCGCTGTGCCCTGCGCTGTCTCCTCGGCCCGGCAGCGGCTCTGGGCTGCAGCGTGTTTGGGCTGCACTTACTGGAAGCGGCGCAGGGCAGGGGTGGTGGGCGTTGCTATTTCTGCTCGCCACATCCTCTGACAGTTTCTAAGAACCGGCGGTGGATTCCTGGTAAGAGATTTCGATGTGTGACAATATCCCGCGAGCGCGCAGCCCCATGGTAGCCGGCTGGGCTACAGCCCTGAGGTGCGAAATGCTGCCTCGTGCCGCTGAGTGACAGCGTGTGAGAGAGGGGCCAGGCTGTGCCCTTTTGTGGTCACAGCATTGCTGTGGTGAGGCGGGGGAGTTCCCTCCTCTGGTCACGGCTGGGTCCCGGCTGTGTGGAGATCCGCAGTGATGTGCGTGACACCGGGCTCCCAGCAGGGATGACCTGGTCCTACTTGGGCAGGGGAAGGAGTGGCGGTGGCACGATGAGATGCAGAGCTTGAGGAGACCCTGAGCCTGAGGGAGGCAGCTGGGTCCCCAAGCCTGCACTCGTGTGTATCTGTCTTGAGGAATGGTTCTGGCCAGCCCAGAGGTGTTCTGCTCTGCCCCTGCGCTTGTTTGGGGTGGCTGGCTGCAATGCTGAGTTCACTGCTGCATACAGTGGGAAGAGGATAACCAGAACATGGGACTTCTAGGAAGGGTCTAAATGACAGGCAAGCTGGAGGTGTCTCCTACAGGAAAAGGGCTTCTGTGTCTTCTGTGTGTTTCGATGTCCCAGGGGCTGGAGGTATAATCCAGCAGCCGCTCACAACTGTTCTAAGGCCCTCATCTCTATGAACAGCAGAACTGAGGCCTCTTGTCCCATCCCTCTCCCACAGGACTGCCTGAAGGCTTGTCAGGAGCAGATTGAGGCAGCCCTAGCCGAGAGCCTGAAGCAGGCATCCCAAAGCCAACAGGAATACAGCACCGCCAAGACTGCTGCTTACCCAGCCAGCCAGCCCACCAGCACCCCCACAGATGTCACGGACATCAACCTGTGACAGGCTGCACCCGCCTGAGAGCTGCCCGTCCCCACGACAGCAGGACCCAACCCCAGGCACCCAGAGCTCGCTGCATCCCCCTCGCCCATCTGAGAGCCCCTCCACCCGAAGCCTGTTGTGGGGATTTGCTCTTCCTGCTGGCTGTGTGAGGACAGCTCCATGCTCATCCTTCTCCCCACCTCCAGCGCCAAGAGGGGGGCAGGGCGAGGGTGCCAGGATCTCTGGTGACTCTGTGGGGCTCACTGCTGCTTGAACTCTGCTCGCTGGCTGCTGGGGGTGGTGGGGGCGAGGTGGCCCTTCCAGGGGGGAGGGCGGGTTGCAGAAGAGGTGAGGAGGGGAGCAGAATCCAAAAGGAAATGGTAAAATGTTTCTGTTTGCTTTCTTTGCCCCCCTGACTGGCAGAGGTCTGCTGTGCTCAGTTGTGTTTACTGCAATGACTTCCAGCCCTGCATGGACCACCATTCGTGCACAGCCAGCTCTCACCTGGCTTACGTGACCAAAATGTCTGTCACCCCCTCACTGAGCACAGAGGTCCCTGGGTCTGGGCTGCTGTGTGGTGGATAGCTGTGGCTCTGGGGTGGTGTGGCTGCTTCTGCTTGGAGGGACGTGTGTGCCTTGTTTCTAGTTGCCATTAGGTCTGGGATTTGCGGGTTCTTGGCTTTGCTTGGGAGAAGCGCTCCCTTTTTTTGCGTGGATGGCAGAGAAGTCCTCATCCTGGGGCAGCCCTGGGGAGACGAATGGGTGCAGCACGATGCTGCAGTGCAAACCCGTGCAAAGTGCCTTGGCTTTCTGCTGCCCCACCGAGGCTGCTTAATTTATTGTTAAGTGCTATGAAAAGGGGAGGGAGGAAGGCTGCTGCTCCATGCGGTGGGGCCTGGATGCTGGTCTTTTTTCCTTCCTAAAGTGCCTTTATCCTTTGTCCACTTCCTTTGCTCCCTGGGCAATGGGAGACTCTCACTTGAAAGCTGGTTGGCTGTAGGTAGCTCAGAAGTCAGGCTAGATTTAAAGAAAAAAAAAAAAAATAATCACTGAATGTGCTGCTATAGTCTGAAATGCATTTTCATTCCTCTAAGCCAGGGATCTCAGATCGTGTCCGGGGGGCTGTTCTGCATCAATACCTGTATGGCTCTGAGCTGTGTCCTCACAGGATAGAAAACTCACTGCGCACTTGAGTTGAAAAGTGATTGCATTTTGTTGTTGTTATTGTTGATCCTGTCTGTTAGTTTTACAGAAAAAAAAAAAAAGTGTTGTTTTTTTAAAAGAAAAAAACATTATATAATGCTGCTTTTCTAAGAGAGAATCAATAAATGGTAGACTTGTATTAACCAGGAATAGCCAGAGAGCCGCTGCAGGGCGGGAGGCAGTGCTGCTGAGGGTGCCCTCTGGACACAGAGCTGTGGCTGCTGTCCTCCTGGGGGGGAAATCTGCTCTGGGTGCCACCAGAAATAAATTTTATCGGGTGAAAAAAGCTGGGGCTGCTGTTCTCCCACCACCACCGTGTCACGAGGAGCGTCTGTACAAACAAATTTATATATATATATATATATATGAGTGAGTTTTAATTTAAGAATAATCTGTTTTGGTGTTCACATGCAAGAGTCCTGCTGCTGGGAGAGTCAAGTACCGTATAATGTTGCAATAAAGTATTTTAAATGAGCACAGTGGTGTCAGGGCTTTCCCTTTGCAGCCTTTCTGTGCTGCTGAAGCATTCCCTGCACAGACAGGCGCTGCGCTGCAGGAAGGTGAGCGCATTGCATTGCGTGTGCTGGCAGCATGGTATATCTCTTGCTTATCAGCTTCTGGGTTTTTTAAAGAAAGGAAATATGAATCAGGAAACCAAGAAAAAAAGAAGTGCTGCGGTGTGTGAGCAGCCCCAGGTGTTGTGTGCTGCTCTGCTCTGTGTGGCTGCTGGGGAAGGGGAGAAGTGGAGCTGGGAGGAGGTGGTGCTCAGCACTGCATGAAGCTGCAGGGAATCTTCCCCATGGGCTGTGATGCTTCCAGGAGCGAAGCTGGACATCTGCAAGCCCTGTAGTGTCCAGGTGAGCACCCACGGAAGTGCAGAGCCTTGTGGGATGCCCCTGCTAGGTTTTCCAGCAGAGGTGGCACTTTGTGGGCTTTGCCACACGTGGGCTGTGGCCTCACTGGCCAAGGGCAGCAGTGCTGTGGTGCTGGGGCTGCTCCATCTCTATGGAGCAGAAAGCCAAAGTCCTTGGAGCAACTGGGAAGTGTTTGGGAATGGTCAGTGCAGGAGGGGCTGCCAGCACAACGGTGGATTGCTGAGAGGGGAGCAGGCAGGCAGGAGGCCCAGGCCATGAGACATCTCCAAAGGGATGCACTGCAGGGAGTGGGGAGGAATAGGGAGCAGTCAAAGGCTGCCAGCCCTGCAAGAACCGGGGCTCTTAGAGAGCTTTCTCTCTGCTCCCAGTGCTGCTGGGCAGCTTCTGCCCTCATCTCTGCCTGGGGCTGTACACAGGGTCCCTGGGTTGGCACAGGAGGTCAGGTGCTGGCAGCAAACCTGGAAGCACCACCTGTAGCACTTTCTTCATTTTAGAGTAGCTGTGGGCTCTGGGAACAGTCTGGGGGCCCCAACCTTGGCCCCCACCTTTCTCACTGAAGGAAGATGTTTAACCCCTGCCTTTTTGCCCAACATCGCACAGACCACTTAATGTGCAGCAGTCGGAAACGTGCCTGCTGCCAGCAGGGAGACGAGAGTCGCACAGCCCCTGCCCTCCTTTTGCAGTCGGGACAGCTCCTGCAGTGCAGTGCTGCAAGGAGCCCAGGGTTGGTGGCTTTGCTCTGCCCCCTGCTGGGGACAGGACAGGACGATGTGTGGATGCAGCCACAGAAAGATGCAAATGCAGAATAGGGCTACTCTAGACTGCGGGACCCAGCTTGGGCTTTATTTTCCAGAACAGGAGCAGGACAAAACCTACTGCTTTCCTGGGTGCCAGGGGCATGGGGCTGCCTTGCAACAAGCAGTGCAGGGAGCACAGCCCAGCCCTGGGGGTACAGCACCACGAGCAGTGGTATCCCAGGGCTGGATGTTCCCAAACACCTCCTGGAGGCACTGCTCCCAGCAGTGTGCAGCAGCCCCCAGGAGCAGGCCAGGCTTACGCTGTTTCCCCACCTCCTCCCCTCACTCCATGGCTGCAGGCTCCTGCCCCTCCACATCCCGCGTCTTGGAGTTTGCCAGCTCCCTCCGGATCTCCGCTGAGATCTGCGGATGGCTGTGGAACTTGAGCAGCTCGAGCAGAGCCTCCTTCTGATCTGAAGACAGGTCCTCCTTGTAGCGCTGGGCGAGAGCCAGGAAGCTCTGGTGCCACAGCACGGGCAGGGTGCGCGGGTCTGTGCGGAAGGCCAAGAAATGGAAGACCAGGGCATCCACCACGCGGAAGGGCAGCGCGTACTTCTTGTCGATGAGCAGCCGAAGGAAGATGCTGTTGGCACCGTTGTATGGCATCTCAGCGATCTTCAGCATGGCTGCACTGTGGGGACAGAGGGAGCAGCAGGTGAGGGCAGGGCCAGCAGCAGCCGGGGGACACCCAGCACAAAAAGGACAGTTTCCAATCTCAGCCCTGGGCAAAGGTGATGAGCAAAGTTCTCCCACTCTGAGCTGCTGGATGGGCTGAGGGATAGATCTGGTGTCCCTGAAAGCAAACTGTTCTCCCCACGATGACTTTGCCCCACTGCGTTACCTGGAGTGCAGGACAGGGATGGAACACTTGGTGAGGATGCTGCCGATGATGATGGCCTCCCGCAGCGTGCAGGTCCCCGATTCACACAAAGGGATGAGGATTCCTGTGGGAGGAGAAGAGTTGGGCACCACTGTTCATCATCACAGCAGGCAGAACTGCAGGGTGTGAGGCTCAGCCTTGCTCTCTCGGGGCACATTTAACCCGAGGAAATAACAGTTCCTCTGCATCATGGACGTCCTTTCACCTTCCTCCACCACACTGAGCCCCCACAGCCACAAAGAGAGCAGTGTACAGAAGTAGTGTTGTGCAACACACTGCCCTGCCGAGCTGCTGCACACTGCAGCAGGCTCCCATGGGTGGAGTGCAGCCCCGCAGGAAGCCCCTACCTTTGAACCACGCTCCTGGCTTGAATAGAGCCTTCTTCAAAGCCATGTAGAGGTGGAAGTTGAGGCGCTTATACTCAGCAATATCATCTCTGACCCGTGGCAACAGCACCAGGTTGTAAAACCTCTGGGCCATCCTCTCCTTCAGGTTGGATGAAAATATCCTGTGAAATGCAAAGCATGAAGTGAGGTGTGTGCTCTGCATCTCCAGAGCCAGGTTCTGAGAGCAGGGGACTGCAGGAACCCTCTCCTCTGTCTCTGGGCATTCCTGCTGCTCCAAGGCACGGGGAGGGAGGAGCAGGGTGTAGGACACACGATGGTATTTTGTACATCTCGTTCCATTGCGGAAAGAGAAAACAACAGCTCAGAGTGCACTGTGCTGGTCCCACCTTGTGGCCTGGTACATTGCCGCTGCCGTCCACGTCTCAGGCTCTGTGATGTAGAGGATCTGCTCCCAGTTGGACAAGGCAGGAATGATTTTAAACGCCTTGGGGAGTTTCCCACTCCTGTATTTGGACAGCACCTTCAGTGAAAGCAGAGGGGGTGTGGTTTGTCTCAAGGTTGTAAGCAAGCTGTCTGCTTGCTGGAAAGGCGCTGTGCTGGGTCTCTGCTCAGCGTGGGGCAGTGCTGCGTGCCGCGTGCGTCCCCATCATCAGCGTCCCCCACCATGAGATCTACGGCATCCCCGAGGAAGCAGCAGCGATGCCATCGCTGCACTGGGGTGGAGGTGCCACAAAGGTGTGCGTGGGGCAGGGGCCGCAGTGCCCTCACCTCCCGGACACCTCTGTACACCTCCAGCACGCGGGGGTCGAGTTGGGGCACGGGGCGGCCCGACAGCTCCGACAGCACCGTCTGCACCTCCGTCTGCTTCTCCGTGATCTTCTCCATGATTACGTCAGCCAGCGTCCGCCTGGGGGGCCGGGAGGGGTCGGTGCTGAGGAACTGGGGCTCCCCGTCCGCCGCCCCCGCCCCCTCCTCCCCCCCCCCGCCCCGCACCTGAGCGGCGGGGCGCGGCTCATGAACAGCTCCAGCGCCTTCTCGTCCTCGGGGTCCACCTCCACGTCCCCACCGCCGCACCGCCCGTCCCATTCGGCGGCCCGCCGCAGGGTCGGCCATTCCTCGTCCTCCTCGTCCTCCTCCGAGCCGGGGCCGCCCGGGGTCGCGCAGCGCTGCGGCAGCGGTCGGGCGGGCGCCCCGGGGCCGTGCTCGGCCTCCAGCTCCTCCTGCTGCCTCCGCGCCTCCCGCAGGATGCGCCGGGCCAGCCGCGGCCCCACGTAACCTCCGTCCCGCTCCTCCGCATCGCCCTCCGCCTCCCGGCCCCGGCGCTGCCGCGCTCGCGGGGCGGCGGCCCTCAGGATCTGCTCGTGCAGCGGCTCCGCGCCGCGCGCCGCCTTCGGCATGGCGGCCCTCGGACACGTGCTGCGCGTGCGCGCGCCCGACCTTCCGCCGCCGCTTCCGGTGCCGGGCGGGGAGCCGGAGCGATGGGGGTCACCTGGTGAGGGGCCGGGGGGGGCTTTTGGGGGGGGGGGGGGGGGGGGGGGGGGGGGGGGGGGGGGGGTTCCGCGCGCGTCCCCGCGGCTGCTTAGAGCCGTTTGTCGCCCCGCAGCGTGACGCAGGTGCCCGTGTTGGAGGGGAAGAGCGTGCAGCAGACGGTGGAGCTGCTGAGCAAGAAGCTGGAGCTGCTGGGCGCCGAGAAGCACGGCGCGTTCGGCGTGGACTGCGAGACGTACCACACGGCCGCCGCCATCAGCAGCCAAGGTGGGCGGCGGGGCGGGGCGGGGCGGTGCCCGCCGTCGGGGCAGCTCCACGCGTGCTGCCGAGCCCGAGGCTCGCCGCCCGCACAGGGATTTCGGCCTGCGGCCCCTCCAGGGCTCCTGGCGCAGAACGGCCGGAAAGGAGCTCTGCGGGGAGAACCTGGGGGTCCCGGCGGCCGGCAGGGCGACCGCGAGCCGTCAGCTGCCCCGGTGTTCGTGGGGCGCGCGGCTCAGAGCGCAGCCGGCGGGGCGAGGCGGCGCTGCTCCGCTCCGCTCTGCCCGGAGGAGCCGGAGCGCTGCGCCCAGTGCCGGGCTCCCCAGTAATGGGCGGACACGGGGCTGCTGCAGAGCCCGCGGAGGCGGTGGGAGCCTGGAGCGTCTCCTGATGTTTCCATCAAGGCTGAGAGCCCTGGGGCTGGAGAAGAGACGGTTCGGAGGAGGGGGGGGAATCGTAGCAATCTGTACAAATATTGTAGGTGGGTGTCGAGATAATGGGGCCGTGCTCTGTTTGCTGGTGCCCCGCGATAGGATGGGGGGCACTGGGCACAGACTGGAACTCAGGAAGTTCTGTCTGAATATGAGAAAAAACTGCATTGTGGCCCAACTGGAGCTTGGCAAGGGGTGCAAAGAAGAATAAGAAAGGCTTCTACAGGAGCCTCAATCACAAAAGGAAAGTCCATGAGTAAACTCTCATGGACCCCGTACACATAAGCAACACAGACTGGCTGGTAACAACAGACAAGGAGAATGCTGGAGGATGCAACAACTTTTTGTCTCAGTCTTTACTGCTCTTCGCACAGCCCTAGAGCAGATGGGTCAGAAGCTGGGAGCTGGGGGAGCAATGCCCTCCTGCTGGAAGCAAAGATCAGGTTTGTGACCGTCTGAGGACTGTGAATGACGCTAAGTCCATGGGTGCAATGAGATGCATCCAGCAGTCCTGAGGAAATTGGCTGACATGGTCACCAAGGCACTCAGTGACATTTGAACAGTCGTGGTGACTACCACCCTGTCCACCCTACCTCCATGCCAGGAGAGATCGTGGAGCTGATCCTCCTGGAAGCCATCCTGAGGCCCATAAAAGAGAGGGAGGTGATATGGGATTACCAGCTGGAGTTCCCAAGTCAGGTCCTGCCCGGCTGACCTTGTTGCATTTTATGGTGGTGTAACCCCAGCAGTGGACAAGGGAAGAGGCACTGATGTCCTCCATCGGGACTTCAGTAAGGTCTTTGACATCATCCCCCACAGCATCCCTTTCTCCAAACTGGGAAGATATGATGGGTGGACCATTTGATGGATGAGGAACTGGTTGCAAGATTTCTTTCCTCTTTAAGTGTTAAGAAGTAAATACTGTCTGTTCACTGAACTGCTGGATAACAGTGTGTGTGTGAATGGTACAGGGACAGCGGGACTGAGGCAGCAAGGAGAACAAAGGAAGAACAGGTGCTTCCTTCTTTAAAGCACGTACAAGTGCAGCTGAAAGTGCTGTTGCTCTTTATTTCAGGGCAGACGGGCAAGCTGATGTACGTGATGCACAACTCTGAGTATCCCCTCAGCTGCTTCGCTCTCTTTGAAAACGGTCCCTGCCTCATAGCAGATGCCAACTTCGATACGCTCATGGTGAAGCTGAAAGGCTTCTTCCAGAACGCCAAGGCAAACAAGATTGAGAGCCGGGGCACGCGCTACCAGTACTGCGACTTCCTGGTGAAGGTGGGCACCGTTACGATGGGTCCCAGCGCCCGGGGGATATCTGTGGAGGTAAGAATCACCTATAAAGGTATGAAATCCAGCTGCAGGTAGGGAAATCCTATGCTAGAGGCTCAGCTGGAAACCTTGAGTCCCTTCTGTGTATCAGTTGTGTTATTAGCTGCTGGCAGTTTGTACTGGATGCGTTCATGTGTGCAGGCAGAGCATTTATCTCCTTTTCACACTAAGGTTTAATTCAGGTACTGCAGGGCTCAGCTCTGCCTACAGAAAAGCCTGCTGTTGAGGTGTCCATAGACAAAACCCTGAAGGGATGCCATCCAACCAAAAGTTGCTTAAAGTCCTGATGCACAATGCTGGAAGTGCACTTCATGTTAATAAACATACTGAGGTGGGTAGAACACTTTGCTGCTAATTTAATGCTGGTTTGGGTTTTACTTTCTTTCCTGACCTTGTGCAGACAGTGGCTGGGCTGAGCAGCACCAAGCGTTGCCCTCCTGCCACAGGTTTGGCTCTAAAGCTGTCCTCATCAGAGAGCTGTGTGCTGCGGGTGTCAGTGCTGCCCCACGTGTGCTGACCTGGGTTGCTGCACCGTGGGGTGCTGTGTGGGCTCAGAGCCTCTCATCAGATGGCTCTGCTCAGTGCTGTGGCTGCTGATGAGACTTGAGAGCATCAGTCCCAGCATGGCCACTGTTGTCGGGTGTCCGATGGGGTGGAAGCTGGGCTGCAGCAAACCGTGAACACTCCAGAGGGAGATGCATCTGTGCACGTGACCCTTTGTGGCAGGACCCAGGAAGGCATGTGGGGAGGTGGTTGGCTGATTGCAGGTGTGAGCGCAAGGCACTCAAGCTATGGACAAGCCTTAGTATCTCAGAAACATCTTGGATTAAGACGAGGAGCTGGGCTGTGCTGGTACAGGAAGGGCAAAGCAGAGAGCAGGTGGGGCTCCAGACACGTAGATGTGTTGGTGCCTAGCAGTCTTTCGGGTAGCTGAGAATTAGGTGTTGGAAGATCTTTCAAAATCTGAGCTTATGTCTTCCTAAACACAAAATCCTATTAACTGGTCTATAATTAATAATGATGCTGCATCTACCCAGGCAGGTGTTCCTAGTTAGCAGGGATGGGATTGAGAAGTGTCTTCATAGGAATAAACACAAATGTAGTGGTGTGAGCACTGCTGTTGACCTGGGGTTAAAGAGAATCTTGTTTTACCCTAAACTTGAGTTCAGGACCAGATTTTCCTGGCAGTCTGGTTGCTTCTGCTTCGGTTTAGTTGTTTTCAGGGTGTCCATTAGGACATAATCCCTGATCTGGAACTGCAAGTCCTTAAATCCCAAGGGCTTATCATTACACACCTGAAAGATGTTATGGCCACATAAGCTGTTAATATACCAACTTGTGGGAATGAAGTTTATCATTGTTTTTCCACTACTGGAGATTTAATGTGACCAGTGAACCTACAGGGTAGATTTACCTTTCTTTTTCTTCTCTTTTGAAGAGGTGGCTTGCGTATTCCCTGCGTGTCATGTTTGAATGTGTTTGCCCATCCTTCTGCTGTTATATGCTCAACATTCGCAAAGAGAAAAGCACTGTTATCCCTCTGCAGCCACAGCACAGAGGGGCTGGTTGCTGGCTTCAAACTCTTGATGCATATCTCGTATTTAAAACAGTGAGGCAGGGAGAGGAACATGCGTTGTCCTCTGCATGGTTATGGCCCTGCAGTGAGCTTCAGGGCTGTGTTTTTTGTTGCCAGGTGGAGTATTGCCCCTGTGTGATAGCCAACGACTGCTGGAACCTGCTGATGGAGTTCATGCAGAGCTTCATGGGGAGCCACACTCCCGGCATCCCGTCTGTGTTTGGCACCAAACATGACAGCATCTACAGCCCCGCGGACACAATGGTTCAGTACATGGAGCTGTTCAACAAGATCCGCAAGCAGCAGCAGGTGCCTGTAGCAGGAATCAGATGAAAGGACTCCCAGAGCTCTGTGCAGAGCGGCTGCATCCTTTCTGCAGATCAGGAGTCCCCCCCCAAAAAGCGGCACTGCAGTCAGCCCGAGGTTTTTTCCTTCCAATTCTCTTTGCACCATTTGAAAGCAAGGGTTTTGAATGCCATGAGGATTTCTTCTTCTTGTCCTTCTCCTCCTTTTTCCTTCTCTGTGTGTCTGTGCTCAGGCCCATGGCTCTGATGGTTCTCAGTGCAGTGCTTCATGCAGGGGATTACCGTTTGTTGGCAGAGGAATCCCAGCCAAATGCATGCAAAGGGCAGAGTCTCATTGAATGCAAACAGCTAGGAGAGGATTTTTATTTTTTTTTACAATAATATTTGTGTGCAAATGTCTTGTTATTTTTCATCAAAATAAAAAGCTGTCTTTTTGTGAGAAGATGGAGTCTGTGCACAGCGAGTGTTGTTCTGCTTTGTACTGTTTGTTCACAGGTTTTGAAATGTTCTGTTGCATGGAGACAATTCTTTAGCAGAGTTTTATCTTTGATTAGGTTCAAGAGCTTTATACCACTGTAGCAAACTAATTTCCCTGTGGCAAAATCTCCAGGAATTCTTGCATTCCTGTTATAGGTATGTTCTTAGCTTGCCTTCATCTTTTATATCAGATGGGAGTATTAAAGTCTTCCACTTCTCAGTTAAAGCCCAGTGCTAAATAAATAAAGAAGTGTGGCAGGAGCCCTCTCATGCACTGGAAGAGAATACCAACTGCTTTGTCTCACTGTTTGAAAGGTCTGCAATAAATGTCCCATTCCTGCACACTATTCCTCTCTGGAGAAATCCTGGTGACATCAGCAGATTTACTGGAGTAAGGAGGATCTGGGGAATGAGAGCCAAAGATTTATGATGAGGCTTAACGGTACAATATCAGTTGAATATTTTTCGGTGATGACTTATTTTTATGGCAGGAAAAGCAGGGAAATCACATCCCTTTTGAGCTATTTGTCCCCTTGGTTTTACATATTCAGCATCTGTCTGGCTTGTAGATGCAGTTTTTCCCTCTCTGACCCCCCCCCTGCTCCACCCCCTGCCTGGTCTCAGAAGCAGCACAACACCCTCGTTCAGCCACCACCCTCTGTGCTGAGCTTCCCTTGCTGAGTTCCTGGGAAGGCTGTGCTCAGCACGGTTCCAGCTCCGCAGCCATTGTCCTGGACAAAAAGAAAGGTGTAAGGGGATTTGCTAATGGAACAATGGGCTCCTGGTAAAGAAGCAGTGTGTCTTGCTAGCAAGAACAATTTTGGTTACTTGCTGATAAATGGGTCCTGAAGATTCTGAAGAGAAAATAAAAGAAAGAGATTTTTTTTCCTCTCAAATAGAAACAGCAGGCAGTAAAGAAGCTGCTTTTTAGTTGATTTGCTGACTGGTGGAGAACTAATTACTTAGCAGTGGCTTCTTTTTTATTTTCATTTATACCTGTAAACCTAATTAACTCTCAAAGGGTCTAGAGCTTTCAGCATAGGCATTTAATACATTTAATCAGCACTGGCTCTAGAAGGAGCTGGTTGATAAGCCATCATAAATAGCAGAACGCACTGTAAGTGCATGAGAAATTCCAACATGCTGACCATGCTGCGTTTCTGCAGCTCCCAGCTCGAGTTGATGAGTTGTGCACTGACTTCAGCAGGACTATTGGTTTTCAAGTGATGGTTACAGAACGTGAGCTGCAGTCAGCTAAGTGTGGCTGCAAAAACACACTCAGCTATTTGTATGGGCAGTTATTTCAGTCTTGTGTCACTTTTTAAATCTTAAGCTTAAAAGAAAAGAATTTCCTTTTAATGACCAGATTAGTCACACTGAGCAGTGCCAGTGCTTTACTAATTCCTGAAAGATGGTCTGAAAAATACAAAACATGTGCTGGAATCTCTGGGGACTTCTGTGCTCTTATTAATATGCTGTGCTGTTCCCAGAGTAACAAAACGGGACCCCTTGAGCTACGTTCTGCCTTCAATTACACCACTGCAGCCACTGACGTCAGCAGGCTTCCACGTGTGTAAGGACGGGTAGGATTTGGCTCTCTATGCCCGAGCAAAAACGTCTGCTGCTGTTGCTGCATTCTGTAAGCCAGGGGATCAGCTGTCCCAAATGAGGGGCTGCTTTTACACCGGGACTTTTCACAGAATTGCCCGGGTTGGAAGGGACCTCAAGGATCACGAAGCTCCAACCCCCTGCCACACGCAGGGCCACCAACCTCCACCTTTCATACCTGCCCAGGGCCCCATCCAACCTGGCCTTGAACACCTCCAGGATGGACGGGGCATCCACAGCCTCGTGGGCAGCTGTTCCAGCACCTCACCGCTCTCACAGTAAAGAACTTCCCCCTGACGTCCAACCTCAGTCCTCCCTGCCTATCTTTCACATTCCGATGGACAAAACAACTTCTTTCCTTTCAATCCCCATCAGCTGCAGTAAAGCCTCGCTCGGCCCCCAGCGTCACCGCGGCTCCGAACGCCGGTCTGCATCTCGGCGAGTCTTCGGGGGGCTTTCGGTAGCGCCAGCTTAACGGCTCGTGCCAGGGTATCCGAAAACCACCTCGCTTTGCCAGTCGAGGCACGGTGCGGAAGGCTGTTTTCCCCAGGCCTCGTCAATCATCAACTTTAATCACCCGTTCTAATTCTTCTGTCCAGAATGGCGCGCTGGGGTTCTGTAAGGTGAGGAGGTGGGCTGGGGGGTCCGGCGTCCCCCGCTGGGTGCCCCGTGCTGCGGCTCGTGTTCCTCCATCAGCTCAGCGCCCCGCCGCCCCCCGAGGGTCTCCCCGCCCCCACCGCCTCAGAGCCCCGTCAGCGCCGCGCTGCCCCTTTAAGAGTCCCTTTGTCTCCGCTCCATCCTTATTTACCCTCCTGCTTCTCAACCGAACTTCAGCCCGGGATTCACAAAGCCCTCTACGTCACCGCCCGGGGCCGGGCCCAGCCGCTCCCCGCCCCTCAGCGCCGCCGTCCCTCTACTCAACCGTGAGCCATTCAGGAGCGCCCCCTAGCGGCTGCGCAAAGCTCGTAAGCTCCACCAGAGCTTCCTCTACCCCGGCGCTACCTACGCAAACAGCGTCCGCTTGAACGCCGGCCGCGCCGTCTGCGCCCGGGACGGCGCCGCGCTCTGCTACGTCCGCGCCGGACGGAATTGGCGTAGGCGGCGGCGGTGAATGGGGAGCGAAGCGAGGGGCGGAGCGAGCGCGCTGTGTGGCGCGCTCTCCGGCCAATAGCGGGGCGGGGCGGGGCGCGGCGGGCGGCCAATGGGCGGGGAGAGGGCGTGGCCGGCGGCGTTGGGGTGTCTCACGCTGGTGACAGCTCGCGCGTGCGATGATGGCGGTAAATAAAGGGAGCGGGGGGGGG